ACAGAGGAGGTGATCAACGAGCTCTTCCCACACACGGAGGAGAACTACCGTGACTACCTTCGCTGGTACCTTCCTCGCACTCGTGCGCGTGTGACCTTCACTCCAGACGCCCCAGAGCCGCACGTTGCCGCTGTGACGGACGCGTATCCCACGCACCGTGACCGAGACTACTTCGTGGGGGTACGTCGAATTTGTATTAGTTCTTACAATTATTTCATTTATCTTGCATAATATAGGACAACTACTGAATTTTTTATTTCCATCTTGCATAGGCTGATGCCGCACGGGATATCAGTGCCGATATCACCGCAGTCCAAGTGAGGTTGAACAGAGGTTTGCACTTGACTAACGTTGAGCAGAGGGTGACCTTCGACCGGATGCAGGAGAAGATGCGTGCGGTCATGCGCGTCTTCTCCTGTCGCAGCGCCGTGGACGTCGTACCTCCAGCTGGTCCGGTACAACCACGGCCTCGCGCGCCTACCGTCAGAGCAGGACCTCGACCTACGGTACCTGTTTCGCACGGTACTGCTCAGCCCAGAGGTTTCTTAAGTTTTGTTTCTGTTTTTGTACGAAAACATCACCCCGTCGTAACTTGATGTTCCATCCTCGCAGGACCTCGTTTGCCTTCGAGCGCCCCTAGCTTCGGAGCAGTGCGTCCTACAGCACCGGTTTCGCACGGTACAGTTCAGCCCAGAGATTAGTTCATTTTTGTTTCAGCTTTTGCACGAATATGTCACCATGTTTTAACGGCACGTTTCCTCATCGCAGGACCTCGTCTGCCTTCGAGCGCGTTCGCAGGCACGACCGGCGCTTCCGCGAGCTCCGCAGGGGCGTTCGCCACCTCTTCGGGCGCGTTCGCCAGCTCTTCCTCTCACGGAGCGTCGATCCCTCGCCCACACGGTACTTTACTTTTTATTAATACTATTAAATACCTGTATGAAACTGATGGTCCTTGTCCAGCAGGATTTGCAGCCGGGATCTTCGGTACTGGGGCCTCTTCGTCTCACGCCGGTAGGACTGGTCCTACTAGCCAGTTCTACGACGACGACTTGCACGGTGCACACCACCACGACGTACTAGGCTCCTCTCAGCTTGGAGGAGCTCCAGAGGCGCACACTCAGGAGCAGCCAGAGGTCACACCTGTACAGGCAGGACGGGTTGGCCGTGCCGTACCCCCGGACCGACTCACGTACTCCCAGGGGCACATTAGGGCGCAGGGTAGGAGGGACAGGGGTAAGAGGCCTCGTCAGTAGTGTTCTACCTCTTCAGTCCTTATGTGACCGTTTCTTTTGGCTTACAAACTTGTAAAGCAGTACTACTTTTGCTATTACTACTGCAGTACTACTTGTGTTTGTCTCGTCTACATAGTTCTTTTCATTCATATGGTGCTAGAACAACTTATGCTCACGACAACACACTTTCGGCGCTTCACGGTAGTGTCAGATCCAGTAGCGCGCACAGTCCACAACAGCACACATGAAAAGCGGCAGCTCGAGTTGTCACTATCAACTTTCGGCGCTGCCCGTTGACATAAAGTGAATCACGCCCACGCGTGATCGTCTTGTCACATGTAATGAATAATGTATCTCATTGAGTTCACATATATTGCAGTGAAAACGACGCTATATAATTGACAATCTGAAGGCAACCTCTTCATATCTTCTTTCCCACTAGCACACAACACACGAAAATGGAAGCGCCATTCCTTGAGCGTCTCAACTAGCGAAGCGATCCTTTTGCTGGTTGGTTTCCACCATGGTGTGACCGTCCTTTGTGCGATTGTGGGGATGGATGCATACTCAAGTCTTCCCTCATGATACAAACTCGGGGCAGGAGATTCTTCCAATGCGCGAACTTTGATCAGGTATGCTTCATCTATTCAAAGTTCAAATGGATAAAAAAACTAACTTCTTCGTACACAATTGTAACATCTTACGCAGACATATCGTCCAATGTGCAACTTCATCGAGTGGGTAGACATGGAGAACCCACAAAACGACGGAACCCGTGCTTACCCACGTAGTGAAACAAGATCGGACTACCTAAGGTGGAAGGATGAGCATGAACGTCGAATTGCTGCTGAGGCTTTAGAATGGCACGTAAATCCCCTAGGACTCCCCACGTGGCGTGAGCGTCCGGAGTGTCGTTGTGGTGACCGTTGTCAGGTCATAAGGTCCGTAAGTCACCGAACTCGAGGACAAAGGTGTTTCGTGTGTCCAAACATTGTCGACGATGATTTCGTGGTAATTACAACTATTCTTTTCATCACTCCTCAGTACTATCATTAACTTAACTATCCCAAAATGGATGTACATAGGAGGATGTAAGGAAATGTCAATTCGTACAATGGATTGACACAGTCAGAGTTACTTCAAGTGGCGGGCCGATAACGCAACCTGAACCGACCATACAGTTCATTCATGCTTGGATGGAGTACGAACGTCGGGTGAAAATTGCAAGCTTAGACTGGAGGAACAATCCATTAGGGTTACCTAAATGGTCCAAGCGTCCAAAGTGTGGGTGCAGAGATCGCTGGCAGGTGGCTACATCCTTTGTTGAACAAACATTTCGAAGGAGATATTTTGTCTGCCCCAATGTAGACAACGATTTCGTTGTATGTCTAACCATTTACAAAATCCGCTATGATTTGCACAAAATTACTACCCAAACTGAATAACATTACTATTTTTACAGGGCAATCCAAGGATGGGTGGATTTACTCGATGGATCGACAATGTCACTCCATCATATCATGGCCAGAAGATAACAGAGTCAGAAACACAAGTAGAGTATCAACGATTGAAGGACCACGAGAATGCAATGCATTCTGACCGACCTAGAAGGTGCCGATAGGTTACCGCATGCTTGATTCGTCGGGATTGACAAATTTGTACCGTGTATCGATGGCACTTCTTATCTATCTTATCATTACAATGTTTAATTATGGTGGTGATTTTTTGTATGCGTAAGACTAAGGGCCTATTTAGATTGCTACCAAAAACATGCCCTACCAATATTTTGGTAATTTGAATAGTACTTGTGTTTGATTTCGATTGAAGCCTATTCATTGGTAATACGTAATCTAGATTTGAGATTATGTAGAACATTCTTCACTACAATTTTACATTTTGGCAGCAAACCAAATATGATCAAATGCAATTTTACCTTACCAAATATTTGGTAGTGCCAAAACTTGCTTATATTTTGGCACTAACAAAATATTTGTACAGTAACATTCCAAATAGGCCCTAAAAAATAATAAAATTGTATTTTACCAGTCTTGGAGATTTTAATCTTGTATAGTTTTCAATATAAAAAGATTTGATAACTATTGATATTTATACAAAAATATAAAGCACAGTATAAATTCGCCCTCCCCCAGGGCGGCAAGGGGGCCGCCTGCAAAATTCCAGGCCCCCCGCCGCCCATTTGCAGGCGGCCCCCCGCACAGTACAAAATCGCCCTAGCGGAGGGCGGCAAGGGGGCCGCCTGCAAATTTCGTTGACGGCCGTCGCCCGAGAGCGAACGGCCGTCTGCCACGTCACTTTCGCCGCCCTCTGGGATGGCGATTTTTAAAAATCGCCCTCCCAGAGGGCGGTAGGCGACCACTTCTGTCAATTTTCAAAATGAAAAATTATTTTTGTAAAACTTTTAATAAAAAAAATTAAAAAAAAAAATTCCAGATTTTTTAGTGTTGTTTCTGTATATTTTTGTCTGCTGTTAGATGTAGATCTAAAGGACCAAAAATCTGCATGATAGGACCCTAGAAAATCTGTCAAATGTTGTGTAGGCAGATCCGACCCATTATCTATCTCTAGTCAAATAAGCAAGCGTGATTATGTAATATTCATGATCTCCAATTCTCCATAAAGTTGGCATAGCCTCCACCGTGAACTGCGCCTTAATTTAGATTGCCCACCAGTAAAGTCCACTGTAAGACACGTCCATCGCTCATTTGCTCTATCTCAGCAGCTGAGCTCCAACGCGAACACCCGACACCAATTTGGCAAGTAGCCATCTTCGTGCCGGTGCATCCATATCCATATGACCATATCCATCCGCCTCGCCCGGCCCCGAACCTGAACGCATCAACGTCGCCCGGAAGTGGTCCGCGTCCATCTGGAGGCGCAAAGACAAAAAAAGTGCAAAAGACGCCGCGCCGATGCCCGATGGGGAGAGGTGCAGCGACCCCTGCCTCCGTTTGATTCGGTCCCGCGCGCCGTGCCGTCCCGCTGCTGCTGCCATCTCATCCACAAGAGCGCGGCCCGGCCTTCTCTCTTGCTCGGCCAAAACCATCTCGTCCGCGATCCTTCCGCGAGCTCGCTCTCGCTGACGCGAGCCATCCCGCGTAACACGAGCGATGCGGGCAAACACGCACACAATTGTGTGTCTTTTACCGCGTTCGGGCTCGTGGACGTCTGGTAGATTGGCCTGGGTTTTACGTGCTCAGCTCGTGTGGTGGCGGGCGGGCATGTGTTTGGCCTCGGTTACGTAACACGAACGGGGTAATTCGCGCTTGGTTTATTACTGCTGTACCCGATGGCGCGGGAGCTGACTTGCTCTGCGTGGTTTGGACTTTGGACCTCTGCCGTTTCATTTGGTTTCGGGGACACGGTCAAATGACGTTCAGCTCGTTAGGTATGTGAGAACCATGGTCAAGATCCACGGCCAAATACTTGCGCTGTGTGGCTGCTAAACTCGATTGCTTTTCTTTGCTGACTAGTTCTAACTCAGTTTTGCTGTTCCCTGTCCATTAGTAGTAGTCGTGCACATCTGTCGTCTCTCGGCAACGCGAGTATCTGATGAGGTGTTTTGAACTGTTGGCGTGTAGCCACGCAAGGAGGCTTGAAAGTTTTCCAGGCTATGCTGATGAAACTGAACACGTCAGAGCCCGACAGGAAGAAATTTGATTGTGCTTACTCAGTCCTTTTTAGGAAGGGCTGCCGGAAACCGATTTGATTCAATCAGTATGTACAGTTGCAGCACTGATCGGTCTGGTATTGCTTAAATACACACATATATATTTATTTCCCCCTAGTAAATTACATTTAGAGGATATGAATCTTTGATGATGTAAAAAATTAAAATTGTATACAACATTTTTCTATGTGAAAAAAATTACAGAGCAAAATTTGCTGTGTATCCTACAGGAGTACATCCTTTCCTCCCATCTCCAGTGTTAAGGGACGGTACCCTTTTCTGCAGCCATCTGCATTCCTGGGCCCTCCAAACAAATAAACAAATGTATCAAAGACTACAGTATATCCTAGGTACGTACAAGTACAAAACCCCCCTAAACTACAATTTCCGTCGTGTCATGTCTTTGAGATTCCTACGACGACGATTCTTTCAGTCAGTAGAGCGAGTTCTGGAAGAACATGTCGTCTCCGGGCTCTTCCTTGGCTCTCGAGGCGTGCATCGCGTCGTTCTGCCTCTGCTGCTGCTGGTGCTGGCTCATGTACGAGCCCCTGGCGTCGTCGAACCCGGAGAAGCCGCCGAAGCTGCTCCCGCCGACCACGCCGCCGAACGGTCCCTGGCCGCCGAACCCGTCGGGCCTCAGCGCGTACGGCTGTGGCCCCGTGGGCTGGTAGGACATGGGCGGCGGCTGGTTCGGCAGGTACGGGTGGCTGCTGGTGGCGGCCGCCGCCGGCGGCGCGGGGCGGTAGAGCGCGGCGCTCCCCCGCGCGGCGGGCACGTCGTGGTTGTGTTTCCCCTCGTAGGTGGTGATCACGGCGCGCAGGTCGTGGGACGCGCGCTCCACGTGCTTCCGCACGGGGCAACCGGCCGTGGTGCACTTGTAGTAGCTCCTGCAGACACGAAAGCAGCACGCACGATAAGTACAAGTACGAGAGATACACACGCGCGATCACACCAGTAGACGAACTGAAAAATGGACTTTTTGGGTTCTTTATTTACCTTGGGTTCGGGTTGCCCTTCACCACCTTCTGGCCGTACTTTCTCCAGCGGTAGCCGTCGTCGAGGATGTCGATGTCGCTCATGGTTTGGACGACCACCCTCGGTTCCCGCACCGTCCGGTTGCCAGCCATGGAGATCCCCTCGCCGTCACCGTCTTTCCTCCTGATATTATGGTGAACATGTTCAGTTCACTGTTTTATCTCAACAAACATAATTTGGCGCGAAGAGGTTTGGGAACAGGGCACTCACCATCTCTTGGAATCCGGCTCGTCGTCGTCGAACTCGTCGCCGCCGCCGTTCCCGGCCCGAGGGGAGCCAACTCTGATCTCGTCGTCACCGAACGACGCCGACGAGTTCTCGGGCGTCGCCGCTGTGCCGGACATGCCCCCGAAGGAATGCTCCGACATGTCGCCGCCGCTCTGCAGGACCTGCGCCGCCGACGAGCCGGAGTTCCTGCGCGTGTTCTGCGGCTTGGCGTGGTTGTGCGTGCCCTTGTACACGATCTCGGTGATCTGGCCGTCGAGCGACCGCTCCACCTTCTTCTTGGTCGGGCAGTTCGGGAAGGTGCACTTGTAGTAGCTGCGGGGGTTCTCGCTCCCCTTCACCTGCTTCTGCCCGTACTTGCGCCAGTTGTAGCCGTCGTCCGACGACCGCCTCTGCGACTGCGGCTGGCTGTACCCGCCGCCACCCTGCACCTGTGGCGCCATCTCCGACGAGGTCGCCTGGAACGGCGCCGCACCGAAGCTCGCCGCGTTGGCACCCGCGTCCATGCCTGCAGGCTGCTGCTGGTAGCCCCATGGCTGCTGCTGCTGCTGACTTCTGTATGCCTCGTCCCCCTGTCAGAAAAGGTTATTGTTTAGAGGCTACTTCTATAGTTTGGGTTTTGACTATTGCAATTTGCAAACTGAAATAGTGAAAATGCCTTAGCTAGGAGTAAGAAAGAAAGATGCTAGGAGTAGTTTCTTTTGGACAAAGTCAGCGAAGGACCCCTCCAAAAAGGGTAACAGCTGACGTTATGGTTGCTCTCACTCACCAGTGGGGCCGGTGGGACCGGTGGCTGGAAAGTCGTCGTTCGCACGGCCTCCTCGCTCGCAGGCGCCGTCTGAAACGAGAAGTCGGAGTAGGAATTCCTCTGCTCGTCCTTGCCGCCTTGATCGGCGCTCTGCGCCGCCGCCACCTCCGGCCTCCAGTCAAAGTGCTGCGACGCGAATGCGCCCGTCGTCGGCGACGGGAAGATCTGAAAACCGGCAAGGTTCAATTCTCAATTTCTCATTATCATCTGAAAAACCGTACAGAAATGACATGGCATTAGGCCATTAATGGAGCTCGGCCCATTCGCGTGCGTGCTTACACTGGAGGTCAGGAGCACCGGCGAGCCGAGGAAGTCGGCCTGGTTCATGCCGATCGGGCTGTTGAAGAAGGACGACGGCGACACCGGCGGCGGCGAGAGCGGCAGCGAAGGCGGGGTCATGGCCTTGTACCTGGACACACCTCCGCCGCCGGCTCCCGCGTTTCCCCCGAGGAGGTCCGTGAAGCTCGCGCTGGCGAACGAGAACGTCCCCAGCCGCGAATTGGCCGACGTCTCGACGCTCCCGGACGACGAGGTTGTCATCGGAATCCCTCAGGTCGCGACCAAAACCGCCGCGTCTCACAGCTCGTCGCCGTGCGGTTCGTGTCTCTGTCCGGCCTCCGGCGTGTACGTACGGGAAGAAGGAGGAAGCGGGGGTGGAGGGAAGAGAGAGTTTGGATTGCTTGGACGGACAGGAGGAGAAACTATATAGAGGTTTGAAACTTTGACCGTTGACTGGTCAAAGCTCGTGGCGTTTGACTGGCGGCGCATTGTGCGAGCGCTTGCGCGAAGCTGACGAGATATTATACCCACCACTAAGGGGACGGGATTCGCAGCTGCGTGGGGCCGTGCGGCTTGTTTCGTGTGGAGCGGGTAGGGTTTTTGGCGGATAGAGAGGTTGGTGGCCAGGAATGGTTTCTTTGACCTGCTCAAAACTTTCAATGGGATTATGGGTAAATCTGGTGGATTTGAATTGCGGTAAATAAATTCGGTTTAAAGGTAATGTCCAGGGGTAAAAAATGATTCAAACTACAGGACAAGAGACAATATTTTTAGATCAAATTTTGTTTGTTTATTAATTGGAGTTATGTTACACCACACACAGGTTTATCTATTTCTGATGCTATCTTGGCTGCTTGCCTGTTTTTACTGGTTCGTTCTTAAATTGGATCCGTTGTGTTTTTCGTTCTTATTTGATCATAATTTTGTGGATCATAAAGGAGTGTAAAATTACACCTCAGGTAGGTCATCTTTCTAGATGCAAGGCTACTGCTTGTTAAATTTTGAAGTGGGGAATAAGTGGTTTTGACCTCTTTTCTGTTTGATCACCATTTTACTTACGGCAGAACTGCAGTCAGCCGAGTATACGTATGGTCATTGTTCACTAAGACAAGATTATATTTAATCATGCATATTGACGTGCGACGAAATTCTACAATTTATACAGTAACAAGTCAAACATAAATGCCTCAGGGAAACCTGATTACCTGATAAATGAAGCCCCGTGCTCTGTTTATGCTTAAATTAAGTTAATTAAGCTCATTATAAACTATTGGGTTCACAGGACCTCCCTTAGGCCTTGTTCGGTTTACAGGGAATTGAAGAGAATTGGAGGGGATTGAGAAGGAGTAATTCCACATCATAATAGGTGTAAAATAAATCCCCTTAAATCCCTCCCTCACAAGAATTAACCGAACAAAGCCTTACTGACGTCAGGAAACGAAAAGACCGGCTAGTTTTTGCTGAAAAAATGAACAAGAGCTCTCCGATTTTCTGAACATTCCTGGGTTCACAAACTCTGAATGCAACCCCTTTTTATTTCAGGAGGGAGGTCACGGGAAACAAAATGTTCATACGAGGAAATCAGAAAATATACATCTCCGGATTGCTTGCTTCTTGAAAATGATTACGGAATTCAATAGGCATGTGATTCTTGAGAGCAGAAATGAGACCATGTGGTCGAGATGTAGAATAGGCATTTTGTTTGGGCAATCTTCTTCGAGCTAGCCGTGTGTTCCTGGGATTCGGATTGGCTGGTTTTCCTAGTTCTACCTCACGGATTTTACTGAATCTTTACCTTCTGCATGAATTCAACGCGTCTGTTAAGGTTTTCTAGTTCAAGATTAGCTCGTGGGTCAGATGGTTGGAAGGAAATCCATGGAGCAAGTTTACTACAGGAGGCGTGTGTCCTAAATCGCAATTATGTCCCTGCTACTTGGAGCGTTTTATTACCCTTTTTTCAGTTTGGGTTTGGAGCAGAGATGTTGTCCGTTGATCATTACTGCCACGCTGTTCTTAGCAGACCATTCAACATGACCCAGTCACCAGGACAGATTGTTGGTGTTCTCTGAAGAACTTTGCAGATACAACCCTGATATACTGTGTATTACTGTACTTTCAAGATCTCAGTATTTTTTTTTTTCAGGGGATCCTGCAGGATCCCACCTTGTTGGAAATGTTTCTTTTTTTTCCGATAATCTTATTGGAAATCCCGTTTTCTAAAGATGCATGTCACCACAGAAAGAAAAGCTCACATGACAAGAGCGCCAAACTGAATTGAGGTGCTATACCTATCAAAATAAAGAAACAGGAAATTTTCCTTTTGCCACTCGATGTAATTGTATTATCCCTTCTATCATTAGAAAATAGTAAATTTCACAAAACCCCACCTATTTATAGTCCAAGTTGTACAATACCATAGCAATTTTGACACATGATATATAACCCCAGATATTATGGTCTTAAAGTTTCACAAAATCACACCGTTAACCACTTTGACTTTGATCTACCATATTTTTTTAAGTTCTACAATCGTATCACAATATTTTGAGTTTTTGTCTATTATATGAGTGTTACATCCGTTTTTTTTATTTTGATATAGGAGTATGTAGAAATCGTTAACTGTGTGGTTTTGTGAAATTTTAGGACTATAAGACTCAGGGTTACATTTCACGTGCTAAAATCCATGTGATTTGTACAACCTGGATCATAATAGGTGGGTTCTATAAAATTTACTCTTAAAAAGATTGCATTTTTCTCTTTTACCATTCTTCTGTTAGTGTGGGTTGTATTTTATCATGGCCGTCAAGTCAATGGTAATTGACCATTAACTTTGCTATAAAAGGCCATTACACCCCTATGTAGCCCTTGCGGATGTTTCAAAATCAAATAACAATTGAAATTTTAACAGGCACCAAGAAATACCAAGAAACAAAGTTTTTCTTAAAATATCTCATTTTAAAGTTACATGTAAAACCATCCTAACTAATTTAAATATCTTACTATACATTGTACACAACCTTTGGAAACTTAAAATGAAAAACTATATTTCCTTGAATTTTTGAATATCTCTCTTTTTTTAGTGTTTTATAAGGGGGCTGGCAAATGGGCGATCGATCCCCATCCACCCCTATACACTCCTCTCCCCCCCTTTCTCCTCCCCTTCTTCTCTTCCTACTACACCATATTTTTTAAAAAAATAAAAAAACAAACTTGAAAAAATTTATGTATAGAAATACTATATATAAAAAAATATTTGAATTTAAATTTAAATTTGAAACGGGTATGTAAACTTTTGATATAAACTTTGGGTCTATAAACTAATATTTGAATTCAAATTCAAATTTAAATCGGGTATGTAAACTTTTGACTTATAAACTTTGGGTTGTATAAACTTTAAGATGTATAGAAATACTATATATAAAAATATTTGAATTCAAATTCAAATTTGAATCGGATATAATTCAAATTCAAATTTGAACTGGGTATGTAAACTTTTGACTTATAAACTTTGGGTCTATAAACTTTAGGTGTATAAACTTTAGATGTATAGAAATACTATATATAAAAAATATTTGAATTCAAATTTAAATTTGAATCGGGTATATAAACTTTTGACTTATAAACTTTGGGTCTATAAACTTTGTGTATAAACTTTAGATGTATAGAAATACTATATATAAAAATATTTAAATTCAAATTCAAATTTGAATCGGATATATAAACTTTTGATTTATAAACTTTGGGTCTCTAAACTTTAGATGTGTAAACTTGAGGTGTACAAACTTTAAGTGCATAAATTTACTAAAATAGGAAAGAAAACCAGGTGGAGGGAGGGGGGGTCCGAATCTAATCGCTAGGGGCGATTGATCGCCCCTTAGCAATCTCGTTTTATAAGGGTATAATGGTCTTTTATGGACAAATCTTGTGGTCAATTGGCATTGACCAATGACAATTGTAAAAGAGAGACATGAGCATAAATGAATAGTGGCGAAAGAGATAAGAGCAAAATTTTGATGGCAGAAAAGAGAATATGGTTTGATCGAGCAGAAAAATAAAATTATCCAAAAATAAAGGACACATGAACACGTTGAGGTGCTATATGAACGATTACTCTTAACTAGCTACTCGTTGGCGTCAAGATGCGAAAAAGGATCCATCCTGGTGGCATCCAGTGTTCCTTTTTCGTGTTTGTGACTTGGAGGCTGGAGACGTGGACGGATGGGTCTACGTGCTGACGTTTCTCTACGGTGTTTGGTGAGCACTTCCATCTGTTTTAATTTGTTCGCTAGATCTTGCCATGGGCCATTCAGATTTTGGACGCTCCTTTCTCCATGCTGCTTCTGTTTGAACTCATCAAAGTTCTCCGTTCATCTCATATATATTCTCATTCCTGGAAAATGGAAGACCTTTTCTTTGTGATCCTCACGTCTTTCTTCGAAGCATGTGCCACTCGCCCACGGCCCACTCCTGATTAATTATAAGATGGCTTGATCTTATAATCACACTACTGCTCCTGCCACTCATGTTTGCTAAGCTTTCTTTGACTCGTAATTTTGAAAACAGAAGAAAAACTTTTTTTTACACCAAGAGAAACTTCCTTTTGACGACTCATGATCATACATGTATGCGCGTTTTTAATCACTTGCTCGATCTCTACTCGTCGGGAAAATGGAGACCGTTGTGTTAGAACATCAAAAATTGGAAATTTCACACCAGATTTCAACAAGTGGCACTTAATTACTACTACTAGCATTTGGCGTGGTACTAGCTGTCTTCAGTCCACTAGACACTGGCACGGTACACGCCGGTGCCGGTGCCGGTGCAGGTGCGTACGTGCAAGAACGAAGCAACGCCGTGTCTCGTAGCTTCTGAACCGCCGTGTACGTACATACGCACGCACGCGCGCACGGCGACAAAGGCTTGACCCGTGTGTATGCTGCGCGAATTCCCAACGTACTACTACGTACGTGTTGTTCTTACCATGTGTGCTGCAAAAGTTTCCAAACCAAGACGTCACCGCATGCCTTACTACCGTTCGCCAAAACGGAAGAGAAGATCTATAAGCCGTAAGTGCTGACATGCATGCGGTTCAAGCGGTAACGAGGATATATCGCGGGGCTCGGGCACGGATGTCATCGCACTGCTGCATTTTGTTCGTACGACGAATGAAGATTCAGCTCAGTAGTCAGTTCTACTCTGCTAAACGCGTGTGCAAATTAACCAGTGATGCGGACCATTCTGTGACAGATGCATATGGGCTTGTGGTAGAAAACTTTCTGGGAAGATGCCTCCCGATCGGAGACAGCTGCCACGAGCATGGCCATTACTCTGTTGCACATGTGACATGGCAGTACACACGCGCATGTTCTTTGCTTCCTACGAAGAAGGAAACTTCAGAA